TTTCTTTCTTTCTTTCTTTCTTTCTTTCTTTCTTTCTTTCTTTCTTTCTTTTCTTTTTATTTCTCTTTCTTTTTATTTCTCTTTCTTTTTTTTCTTTCTTTCTGTTGTTTCTTTTCTTTTCTTTTTTCAGCTAGGGAGCACAGTGCATAGAGTATTGGATTTGGAACCAAGAAGACTTGAATTCAAAATCTGCCTGAGATTACTACTAGGGTAAATCCCTTAGCCTTTATCAGCTTCAATTTCTTTTAATTAATACTTAATAATAACACATACCTTGCAGGGTTTGTTGTGAGGTTCAAATGAAATAATATAAATGAAGCATTTTCTAAGCCTTAAAACGAAAATAAATGTTAGTCATTATTATTTGTTAATCAGTCAATTAACATTTATTAAAAGCCTACTATGTCCCAGCCATGATGATGATGATGATGATGATGATGATGATGATGATGATGATGATTGGTGTGGGCACCTTCTCTGCTAATGTTCTTCACTACCCTGCTGTACCTTAACTGATTCACCATATGGCCAACTGGGCACTGATCTTTCCCAAGCTTAGCTAGTTGTATCTTTGGGAAGTAGATATTAGTTTTTATCATCAGTTCCATACGAGAAACCATTTCAGAGGGGTAGAAACTGCCAGAGCTTACACTCCATCAGGATAAACCCTGAGTCACCTCCATGATACCAGTGAGGCAATGGAATAGAACATTACTGGAAGAATAATAGTAATAACCAACATTCATATAGTATGTTAGGGATTATAAAATACTTTTTAAAAAAGAATGGTGTGATAATTATAATTTTTCTTTTGTTTGATGTTTTACATATATATATATATATATATATGTATAACAGAATATAGTTATATAGTATAGAGCTCTGATAGGAAGGCATTTAGGCTAAGTGGTCCTAATATCCATAAAGCAAATAGGCAGCTTTTTTTCACTGTTCTGACCTGTGTTAACCCCTGTTAGGCAACTAATGTCAGCAGCTTCTAACTGTATAAAACTCCTGCTTGACTACAATAGCTTCTGAGTAATTTCCCTCCTGTAGCCTCACATAGTCAATTCAAACTCTTTCCCAATTTCTGGTCCCAATAAAGAAACTCCCCCTATCTGAGCCTCACACAGCCCTGGTATCAATAAGTGACCCCAAAAACTTCTCCATCACATCTGGATCTAATTGGGAATGCCCCCTCCCACATCTGGCACTGATTACCTGCTCTCCACCAGGCCCATTTTAAGGGTACTGTATATAACTGCCTAGCTTAAACCTCAACTTTGAGCATGTTGTCTCCCAACACAACCCCCTCCCCCTCTCACTGGTTGAGTTTCCTTTATCTATGGGGCCCAACCTCTGTCCATATTACAGAAAGTGTGTGTGTATATGGATGTGTATGTGTTTGTGTTTGTGTGAGGAAGGGCTGAGGGGGTAGGTGTGTGGGGCAGGTGTATTTTTTTTTTGTATGCTTTCTGCTTTATATAATAACAAAACTCTTGTTAGTACCAACTTCCAGAGTACTAATTTCTTGTAAATTCCCAAACCCAGGTCTTTGCTTTAACCTGAGCCACGAGGCTAAATAAAGTCACTGGGTTTCCTATGTCAAACCTGCTGGGAGTACAGCAGTCCCTCAGTGGCCCAATTCCACACCTAAATTTTAACCTACTCCATGTCCAACCTGGACCATCCCTTCTTAGACATCTTGGTGGCACCTCCTGTTTCCAGTAGCTTACCACATTGGTTCCAGACTTAATGTAGATACCTGACCAACTTGGCCTACTGTAGTTCAGAATTGCTAAATTCAAGCCACCCACCAGCCTCAGTCTCCCCAGGAGCAGGGATTATAGGAATGTGTCACCAGTTAAGCCTTACAAAGCATTTTTCATACATTATCTCATTTGATCCATACAATGGCCTATAATAATGATTCTCATTTATATAAAGCTTTAAGGTTCACAAAACACTTTACTCACAACATCCATGTGAGATAGTGCAAATATTATCCCCATTTCACAGATGAGGAAACTGGGGCTCAAGAAAATTAAATGACTTCCCCAAGTCACAGAGCATGATTCAGACCCAAGCCTTCTAACTTAAAGTCCAATGCTTTTTTCCACTTTTGTCCAGAAATTCTCTTTCTACACAATAGTAGAAATATAAATGCTTTTTGCTGTTTTCATTGCAGGTTATGTGAATACTCCAACAGATCCATCCAATATCACAGCATCTACCATCTCCATCATTACAACTTCTCTCAGCAACACAGGAAAGGCAGGTGAGGAAAACTTCTGCCACACTATTTTTATTTAAGAGGAAGAGTTAGGGGCAGCTAAGCGTATACACAAGCTCGTCATAGAATCACAGACCTGGTAGGACGGACTTCAAAACGATCTAGTCCTAAAGATATTAAGAAATATCCTGATATATTTATTACTTAAAGGAATGAGCACTATGCTTGGAGTCAAATGGCCTGACCTGTTACTCACTATTCTCATGAGTCTGGGCTAGTCATCAAATTTCTAGCATCAGTTTTCTTGTCTAACCTAATCCAATCCAATTGAACCCAACAGGGCAGCTAAGTGGTGCAGTGGACAGAGTGCTGGACCTGGGGTCAGGAAGACCTGAGTTCAAATCCAGCCTCAGACACTAGGTATGTGACCCTGGGCAAGTCACTTACCCGCATTCCATTTTGGAAGTATTGAGCCTGAGATGCCTACAGGACGTCTAGCTGAAGTTACACAATTTGCAGTTGGTGAGGTGAGAATGGAACTCAGGAGGAAGATTAAGGCTGCATATATAACACCAGGAATCATTTGAGTAGACATGATCATTGAAACCATGGGAGCTGATGACATGACTAAGAAAGAGGACATAAAAAGAGAAAAGAGCAGATACGAAGAAAACACCCCCCCGCCACACACACACATACCCCACAACCTTAGGGACACTGACAATTAAACGCTAGCTATACCTAGCCAAACAGATTGAGAAGGCACAGTCAGGGAGAGAAAAAGGAGAAAGCAGTGTGATTAAAAACTGTGGGAAAGACAGTACCAGGAAGAGTGATCATTAAAACTATACCATGGTACAGAGAGGTCAAGAAGGTGAGAACTAACTGAGAAAAAGGTCCTTGGATTTAGCAATCAAGATGTCATTGGAAACCTTGGAGAAAACAGCTTCAGTTGAGTGGTGAGGTCTGATGCTAGATAGTCAGGGGTAGAGATGTGAGGGGGAGGAGAGGAAGAAGAAACTGGGAGTGTAGATCTCTTTTTTTCTGAGATTTGGGGTAAGAAAAGGAGGAGAGATATATGACTAGGGCTTGAGGGGATGATAGAATCAAGTAAATGTTTTTAGGGGATTGAGGACCTGGACATATTTGTAGACAGCATAAAGGAAGACCAGGGATAGGGAGATATTGAGAATTAGTGATAGAGGGAACAATTGGAGGGATAAGTACCTAGGGGAGTCAGGAGGGGACAGGATTGTGGGTACAAATAGAAGGGGTAGCCCTGGCAGGGAGAAAAGCTACATCTTATTCAGAGATTGGAGCAAAGGAGGACATGAAGTGGGGCAATGTTGAAGGCCTTTGAGGTGTGGGAAGAGAAGAATAGGAAGCTCATGACAGTCTTTTCTTAGTAAAGTAGGTGACAAGCTATTCTTCAGAAAGAGAAGAGGGGCCCCCAAAACTCTCCAAATACCTGTGAAAAATGGCTCTAAACAGAGAGAAAAGAGGGAAAGGGATGGTGCAGGAGGATTGAGGAGAGAAGAAAAGATCTACAATAGTTGCTGTGAGAGGTGAAATAGTCAACTGGGAAAGAATAGAAGGGTTGCCAAGTTGTAACGAGGACCCAGTAGAGATTAGCTAATATAAACACCTGGATCCACTTGTCACATTTGTGTGACTTTGTTTGGTGGCATTCAGCAGCCTGGGGCCTCTAACTGGCTCAGTGCATAGAGCACCAGGCCTGGAGTCAGGAAGACTTAGCTTCTTGAGTTCAAATCTGGCCTCAGATGCTTACTAGCTGTGTGACCCTGGGCAAATCACTTAACCCTGTTTTCCTAAGTTTCCTCATCTGTAAAATGAGCTGGAGAAGGAAATGACAAACCACTGCAGTATCTTTGCCAAGAAAACCCCAAATGAGGTCATGAAGAGTTGGATACAACTGAAACAACTGAACAATAACATTCAGCAGTCTGGGGGTAAAAACAAAGAAGGGGGGTAGCCCAGGGCCAGTTTTACAAAACATAAATGGGAATAAGACAAGATGTGGCAACAGATTCAAGTGCAGAGGACAGTGTGAAGTTGAAATGGTTAACTAGAGCTGGGTGGTGCAGTGAACAGAGTACTGAACCTGGAGGCAGAAAGACCTGACTCAGATCTTGCCTCAGACATAGCCTAGCTGTGTGAACTTAGGCAAGTCATTTAACCTCTGCCAGCCTCAGTTTCCTCATCTGTTAAATGAAGACAATAATAACACTTTACCTCTCAAGGCTGTTATGAGGATAAAATATGATATTTATAAAGCACTTTGCAAATCTTAAGGCACTATGTAAATGTTATTTATTTTGAGGGTCAAGACTGTCAATGAATAAAAGTGAAACCTAAGGATAGGGTGGTGGTGATGGCTTGGGAGAACACTGAGGAATAGACTGTAGGTCCAAGTGAGGATGAAGAATAGATTTAGGAAGGCTGATGGACAGAGAAGAGAGAGGAACATTTACCCCCCAACTCTTCTCCTTTTTCCTTCCCTCCACATTTTCTTCAATTTTTCCTCCTATTCGTTGTTCTGGTTCTTACAGGACTCAGTTTTTAAAGCCCCTCGGCTTTTTTGCTGACCAATCACAATGCTTCCTTCTAATCATCTTTTACCTTATTGATTACCATTTGGCTCCCTATGTTTAGCCTAAATTTTTGACATTGAAAAAAAGTACTGTTGCCCTGAATGTTCTGTTTAGTTGGTTACAAATTAATTGAGGCATCAGTGTATTTCTAAGTCAAATTAAAAATAAATATCACCCTGTTTCCTTGAAGAATGACTCGTTTGTATTTTGGAATGGAAACATTTTAATGTGACCTCTTACTGTGTGTTTTTTTGGTACCCGTAACCATAGCTGCCCAGGTTTCTTGACAAATGCATCATTCTACTTTATTGGGTCTTTCTTCGGTACAAAAAGCCATTAGGACAGCAGTGACATTAGTTGGAGTATTGTACTTCAAAAACTATAGACTTCTTTTTAAAAACGTTGTAGAAGCAGCCTCATTAATCCCAATTGTCCTAAGATTGATACTGACCTTCAGCCTTCAAAGAATGAGATATTCATTGTGAATGCTTAATTCCTGCTTCACACTCTACATTCAAATGTGAGAAAGTTACCAAATATGGTACAAGGGAAGGAATGCTGGATTTGGAGCCAGAGGACCTTGGGTTTGAAACTTTGCCATTCACTACCATGGGACCTTAAATAAATCATTTCACCGCCTCATTTTCTTCATCTGTAAAAGGAGGAGAGTGAACTGATGAACTCTGAGGTCCTTTCTACCTATGGTATTATGAATTAGGATAATAAATATGTTTCCTAAATGGTCAAAGGGGACATATGTGACTAGTTCAGGAGGAATTTTTAGAACTCTTTTAGGGAAAAACCACGGTAAATGGTGTAGGGCTTCAAGCGTAGTGCTATAGGCCCTACAAATTAATTTGAAAAATAAAGTACCTGGCTGTTTCTGTCTTTTGGGATCTCTTGTAGAAAGTAGTGCTTCATAAATTCTGACACAAATACTCATGAAATACCAGTCCTTGAGTTTAGCTATACAAAATACAGAAATGAAAGGCAGGACAAAATTTACTGGCACCAAATCTAATCTGGGGGTACCCAGGGAGAGGAAAGGACCGTCTTTTTAGGAAAGACCAAACCCAGCTTCCCTCCAGGATGAATCATTGCCCTAAACTCATTGGTCCACATCTTGTGGAAAACAGGGTTCCCACCCTGAAAGCAGGGAGGACTGAGGGTGTGTGCCTAACTGTGGGAGGCAGTGACTGCCAGGCAGAGAGGAGCTCACCTACGTCAAAGAAACAAAGAAATGTCCCAACCCCTGGTAGATGAAAGTAGGAGGAAGAGGAGGTTAGTACTTATCACTCCTTCACAGAGATCATTGATTACTCTTACTGAGTATCTGATCACACATGCCATGAGTCTGGCTGGCAGGTGGTGTAGTGGATAGAGTGCTGGACTTTGAGTTGGGAAGACCTGAGTTTAAATCCAGTCTCAGATACTTCCTAGCTGTGTGACCCTAGGCAATTCAGTTATTTCTGTTTGCCTCAGTTTCCTCATTTGTAAAATGAGAATTATAATAGCACTCACCTCCCAGAATTGTTGTGAGGATCAAAGGAGATAAGGATTATTAAATACTTAGCATGGTGCCATAAGCCCAAGTAAATGTTAGCTATATGTAAATATACATATATAAAAATATGTGTATATTTATATACAATTAACATTTACAGTGTGCTTACATATATGTATATTTATATATTAGTATAATGCAAATTTTATATTAACTACACAAATATATAAAATATATGTATATTTATATATAGCTAAATTAGTATAATTGTGATTATATTATTAATGTTATATATTAAACATGCATATACATATATAAAATATATGTATATTTGTATGTCTAACATTTCCATCATGCTTATAATATATATAAATATACATATATTTATATATAATATATATTAAATACATATACGCATATATAAAATATATGTGTATTTATATATCATCTAACATTTACATTGTACTTACTATATTTGAATATACTATATATACACATATATGCAGCTAACATTTGTACATTGTAACATTTATATACTGTAAAATGCAGCATAAACATATTTGTGTACGCAGCTAACATTTACGTAGTGATATATATATAATATATATATGTCTTCTCTGTGTATATATACACACATGCATGTATATGTATAGCCTGTTACTATATAAATGTTTTAGACCTTGTGTGGAGATTCTGCAATTGTCTCACCTTCCCCCCATGTTTGTTGTTACTAAATTCTATTTGCTGATTCACCTTTCTTAATATTTTACATATTTCTTCTTTTCTCTACATTTCTAAGCCATCAATCCCCCTGGCCAAGATTGTCATCACTCAGACCAAGACCTATGCAATGCTTTCTTAACTACTGTCCCTTCCTAAGTTTTGTCCTACTGCAGCTTATCTGGCAGCTAGCTTCTGTTTTTTGTTGT